GCTCTATCGCATCTGGGCTGGAGCTGCCGTATGGCAACCATTGCACCTGTTCACAATTGCATAAGTGCATTTATAAAAATAATTATATTATTTTAAATAACGGGTAACTAAATTTAAATAAAATAACTTCACGTACATCGGAGGCAGTGAGTCTGTCGAGGCGCCGACGGATGGCTGTGAGCCGATCGTCTGACCGTGGCGCATTCCCTACGCTCCACGAGCGTGATCGTGCGAGACAGTCAGGACCGATGGATAGACGCCCTCGGGGTCAGAAATCGGGGAAATACTAATATATCCAAGACTGTAGAAGAGTCAAGCAGCCCGACATCTGGGTAGAGTCCCCTCGGCTGGCAATACCTAGCTGTCTGTACATGTATGCAGCGTAGCCGATCCCCATGAGTAACCCCCAATCAAATCCAAGCCGTCGAGCACCTCGTGCAGGAGCTTGGGGGTCACTCTACTACCACTCTTGTCGACGAACAATGTGGTAGCCAGCATCACCCACAGGCAGGCACCCGCCTCATCCTTAGCCGGCCGGTCTTTCCCCCTGAATGCCCCCGAAATGGCGGTTTCGGACACCGAACCATGCTGCCAGAACGAACTCATGAGTTCGCCCTTGGTGACCGAAAGTATCGACATGCAGAGCCCATGGCAGGCGTCCGAATCCGGGTCCTCAGCGACCACGACTCCCTCCACTGGAACGCCCAAAATGGTCCGGACGTCGTGCAGCATGATGCTCATTTCACCAAAAGGCAGGTGAAACGAGTTAGTATCTGGCTGCCATCGCTCCACAAAAGCAGAAAGGAGTGGGGTGTCCAAGTGGGTGTGCATGGAGTCGACCAAATGTGACAGCCCGGTCTGGTCGAGAAGAGCTCCCGCATCAGAAGACATCTCTTCACGCCAAGCCTTCAGATTCTCGATCGCTCGCAGTCTGTTGTGGCATTTCAGCGGCCCCCTCAAATTTCCACTCCACATGCGGGAGGCGACGTGTCCAAGAAAGCTAGGGATGACACTCCCATTAATGGGCCCACCGGGCACTGGGCCTTTAACGATCCAGGGTGCACCATCATCGGTCCTAGCTCGTTTGCTTGTACCTGCATTAAAATACAACATATCTGTATATATTGACTTGCTGGCAGATGCATTAAATAAAATATATTTAATAAACATATTTCATTAGTTACGTTACATTTTACATTTTACGTTATTATTATAAGCATATATAATTTATAATTATTAATATTATTTTTTGAATTTATAATTAATTACAATTTATTCAACTTACCCTAAATTACAAAATAATTATACCGTAGTTGAGGAGCAGGCCGATAATACTTTTCTAACAGTACCGATAATTTTTTATGATTAAGTGAAAATAATTTATGTTAAACAACAATAAATACGTAAATTATTTACCTGATGAGGATGCAGATGGGCTAAAACGCCCCCGAGCCTGTCATTGAGGAGCAGGCTGTGTGGGACGAACAGCATGTACCGGACGAACATGCTGTAGAACCGGCTGTACCAGACGAACTGGCTGTACAGGAGGACGAGGGTGGTTAGGACCCGTAGGCTGTGCGTGGTCCTGATCATCTGAAGAGTCGTCCGAGTCATAGTCCTCTGGACCCGGCTCCCTCTCGCCGTACGACTCATCATCAGCATACCCCTGCTGACCATAAGGTAATGGTACGCGTGCGCGGGGGGGTATCGACTTCCCTGCGTAGCGGGGAAAAGTACATCCCGGCTGATCGTACGGTCCTGGTGCTGGGGGCATCGTCCTGCCCGCCTGGCCAGGATAATAAAATCCATGTTCGCCGTACGGGAGGACTCCGTGGGGTCGCGAACTATCTGGCTGGCCCTCAAAATGACATGGACCAGTGGGCACTGGTGCGGGGGGGCGGGAACTCTGGCTAGCCTGACGAAGCTGTACCCTACGAGCCTCATCGACCAACGCCTGCCTTTCCGTGTCCCTCTCCCCACGAACGAACGCATTGACACCCCGACTTCTAGTGTGCCGGGTGCCAGAACCATCATAATAGTCATCGTACGCCTCGTCGTCGTCCCTGACATTAGATTGTCCAGGTCTGCCAACACCCTGAATCAGAAATATAATTATTAAATTTTTCCATATGTAATGACTATTCTAATAACTATTCAAATAGATTATAATTAATTTTTCTTTTCATATATAAATTTTATTAATTATTATTATAATTATAATTGTTGAGATTTATAATAGTTATTATAATTTTTTAGTTCAATTATTATAATTAATATTAATTTATAATTATTATTATATTTAATTATAATTATCATTACAAATTATAATTATTATTTCTTATAATATTATTATTATAAGCATATATAATTTATAATTATTAATATTATTTTTCAAATTTATAATTAATTATAATTATTATAATGATTTATTATTATAATTATGATTTACAAATAATAGTAATTATAATTATTATTATTATTAATTTTTATAATTTATAATATTTATAATTATTATTATTTTTATTATTATTATTTATAATTTATAATTTATAATAATTATAATTTTTTTTT